ATGGGGGAGCTCTTGTCCATAATAGGGATATAGACACAGCCTCAAATGATCCACAATGGCTCATGATTGATATGGTGCAGAAATATTTAGACAGAATAATGGTGAATAAAGCACCTGGACCGGATGGTATACACCCACGGGTCCTTAAAGAATTGAGCTCTGTCATTCCAAAGCCATTATTTCTAATTTTTAGGGACTCTTTAATGACTGTCATAGTACCACTCAATTGGTGTAAGGCCAATGTGGTGCCAATATTTAAGAAAGGGGTCAAAGTCTTTACCAAGTAACTATATACCTGTTAGTTTAACTTCTATAGTTGGGAAGATACTGGAGAGTTTAATAAAAGACCACATAGATGAGTTCTTGCTGGAAAAAAAATATTTTGAGCAACAGGCAGTATGGATTCATGAAAAACAGAAGTTGTCAAACAAATCTAATTTCTTTTTATGACAAGGTAAGCAAGACCTTAAACAAAGGGGTGGCGGTGGACGTGGTGTATTTTGCAAAAGTGTTTGACACAGTTCCCCACACAAAGCTAATGTGTAAGGTAAAGTCTACAGGCTTGAAAAAATCATTTTGTAAATGGACAGAAAAATGGCCAAAAGACCGAATTCAGAGAGTAGTGGTTAATGATTCATACTCTGAATGGTCTGGGGTTGTTAGTGGTGTACTACAATGTTCAGTGTTGGGACCCTTACTTTTTAAATATATTTAGAAATGATATAGGGTCTTGGATTAAAAGTGTATTTTCAGTCTTTGCAGATGACGCCAAGCTGTGCAGTGGAATAACGTCCTTACAGGATGTCTCCAAATTACAAGCCGACCTCAATGCACTATTTAATTGGGCAAATATGTGTTAAATGAGGGTTAATGTTGATAAATGTAAAGTTGAGGTTTCCAAAATCAGCAAAATCCTCTCTTGTATTAAAAGAGGTATAAAGAGAGAGATATCATATTACCCCGGTACAAATCATTAGTAACACCTCATCTGGAATATGCAGTTCAGTTTTCGGCACCAATTCACAAAACCGATATCGCGGAACTGGAGAGAGTGCAGAGGAGGAAAACCAGATGGATAAGAGGCATGGAGGAGATCAGCTATGAGGAAAGATTAGAGGAACTGAATTTATTCTCTCTCGAGAAGAGGAGATTAAGGGGGGATATGATCAACATAGATTATTTCCTAAATGCACATATTATAACTGGATACTAACATTTATAGATAAAGTTGATTCAGGGAATATCCAATTGCCTCTTGGGCGATCAGGAAGGAATTCAGGGTTTCCCCTGTTGAAGCAATATTTTTTTTTTTTTTTATTGGTTGATCTAGTTGGACTTTTCAACCAGGCTAACTATGGAAGTGGGGGGTGGAGCTAAGTCCCACTGTGTTTATCTATGGATCACGGCTCCATAGACACACAGCTCGGGAGCGATCAGACACTGTAAGCCCTCATAGCAAAAGGCTTGCTGTGGGGACAAACGAAGAAGTAGAGCCAAGGCCGCTGCCAGGGGACCAGAGAAAAGGAGGATCAGGGCTGCTCTGTGCAAAACCACTGCACAGAGCAGTGAGTATACCAGGTTTGTTATTTTTATTTTACAAAAAATGACTTTAGTAACACTTTACATTTCCTATTTGCAGTGAGTTGTATCCAAGCTGTTAGGTTTTTAACATTAATGCATCCTATGCATTATGGTAAAAAAAAACCTTCTGTGCTACAGGATCTCCCCTTCACCTGAGCCCTATTTCGATCCAGTGCTGTGCCCAAGACTAGTGGCTCTCTCTGCTCTCTCCTCCCTCACAGGGCAGATTGATAGCAGCAGGAGCCATTGGCTTCCACTGTTGTCAATAAAATTCTGTGATGAGGGAATGGGGCAAGGCCAAGCCGCACCTGTCTCTGTCTATAGACACAGACAGGGCAGCTCAGGATATGGGAGCACTTGCTGAAAGAGGAGGAGCCAGGAGCGCTGGTGACGGACCCAATAAGAAAAGGATCATGGCTGTTCTGTGCAAAACCATTGCATAGAGCAGGTAAGTAAGACATGTTTATTATTTTAACATAAAAAAATAAAGTTTTACAACCAGTTTCAAAACAAGCCATCTTTGGCCTTTCTACCTGCTTGTACTGTAAAGTAATTCATTCTCGGAAATCCTAAGGATAACAGCAAAGACCCTAAAGCCAAGTTTCAGTTGGTTTCTAACAATTTAAAGATTTTTAAAGTGCTTTTACTGCTTTTTCAGAATATGTAGACTAATATAACCAGCTTACCGACTGGTCACAGTGGGTAATTATGTTACTGAATTCTGTACACAATTAGGCCTAGTAGACATAGAGGGGTAGATTTACTAAAACTGGAGCACTCAGAATCTGGTGCAGCTCTGCATGGTAGCCAGTCTGCTTTAAGCTTTAACAATAAAACCTGGAAGCTGATTGGTTTCTATGCAGAGTTGCACCAGATTTTGCACTCTCCAATTTTAGTAAATCCCCCCATGGGTTCTGTACTGTGTACAATAACGTGTCTGAAAAGTGAGAAATTGTGAGGGCATGAATTTTACACTAAGATGTATGTCAAATACAAAAATTGGGAAGAAACATTCTTATACTCCTTTATAAAGTAAACAGAACATTACACCAGGCACTTGCTTTTTTTTTTTCTTTTTCATAACTGTGAAAGACAGAATTTGATACAAACCAAATGGACAATGTTCTTTGACCGCTGTAATTTTTCTGGATCTCTTGTGATTTACCAGGTTATAGGCTGCTTATCTCAGAATACTGAGAAACCTTTCCAAATCTAATTTGCACTGTGGAAACAATGGGATGATCTTTACTTGATCTATGTATCAGTCTTTGAAAGACTACCAAGATTTCAGGATGACTGAAAATGTTTATTTTCTTTTTGAAAGCTAACCTATAATCAGTCTTCATTACTTTTCAAATTCTGTTGAAAACAGAAGGTTGTTATTGAAAGGAAATCTATGACCTTTTCCAGATATATACAGTAGGTCAACCATATCATCTTAAAGTGGACCTGAATCAAAAAGTAAAGATTGGCTATCCTATAGCAAGCTACTCCTGTGCCTAAGAGGTACTCCTGAGCTTACAGCCACACATCTGTGTACTTGCAGTGTGAATCTCCAGCGCTGTGCCCCCTGACTGCCAATCCCACCAAGATTTGGTTAGGTCATTACTGTGCTGCTTACTGTTCTCCTTTGTGTAGAGAAAAGGAAGCAAAGCCCTGCCTCTACCAAGATGGCTGCCTCCACACAGAGACAAAATGCAGGACAAAGCATGGTAACTCTGTAATGGAAGAAAAATGTCAACCAACGAGAGATCACTGGCTGGTGACTAGTCCGTTGCCCTTTGCTTACTCTGTGTAGCAAAGTGCTGAGTGCCTCTAATGTTTAATGTGGCATTCATGATCAGAGACAGATTAAGCCAGAACTGGGCCCTAGACTTTGGAATCCTCTCATCTCTTTAGTTGACATTGATGAGGATTGCCATAGGAACAGAGAAGCTGCATCCTTTGCAATGTCTCTGCTGGCATGGTCTTATTCGACACCAACTGTCTACAAGTGCATTCTCCCTTTAGGAAGGGAAATCCAAAGTGCATAGCTATGACCAATTGCTTCATTCTCCTGATTTACTGTAGGAGCATAAAGGTTGTATCTGGCCCCCGGGACCAGGAGTGTATTTACCACAAAGCAAACAAGGCACTGACCCCCAGAAGAAGGGAAGGAAGAAGGGACACATGCAGCATGGGGACCAGGTGGGATCTGAGAGAGGCTGTGGGCTGCTTGACAGTGTATGGAGAACCCGACTCTCTTTCCCGGGGTGTCCGGAGCTGTGAAAGTGAGTGTCTTCTCTCTCTTGACGGGGCAGTGGCCAGTGTATAGGGGGCAGTGGTAGTGGAAAGCTCTTTCAGCTGGGGGGGCAGGGATGTTGGTCAATATCAGGCTTTCTCCGCATGGGGGTGGTGGTGTTGATTGGTGTCAGGCTCTTCCTGAGGAAGGGGGGGGGGTGTTGGGTCGCCAATTTTGGTGTTGCCTAGGGTAGCACAAAACTTAAATACACTCTGGACCCTAGACCCTCCTGCATAGGTTGCCTTGTGGATGATCTTGCTCTGTTTATTACATACAGCTGGTTTTCCTGCTTGCTCATTCCATTTGGTCAACAGTATCCTAATTTTCCAATTGAGGTTAATCCAAGCACTGCAATTAACACAATATTTATCATTTTTTATATATTAAATGGAAACATTTGTTGTCCTCCCGCCTCCTTCCCCGTAATCTTCTGGGACACGTGACAGGTCCCAGAAGACTACGGGGCCATTCACAAAGTGCGGCACTTCTCGAGCATGTGCAGTGGGCACCAGGCTGTGAAGCCGCAAGCTGTCACAGCCAGGTGCCCACACTAAAGATGCTGGCGCCAGGGAGAGAAGACGGCCAGTAAAACCAGCCATGGTGAGGACACCGCTGGACCAAGGGACAGGTAATTCTCTGTAGTTTAAAAGTCAGTAGCTACAGTTTTTGTAGCTGCTGACTTTTATTTATTTAATTTTTTTTCAGATGGAACTCCACTTTAAGTTAAAATAGACTAATAATCAATTTCTGCCCAGCACTAGGAAGTTGTTTGGTGCAATATTATTATTTATTATCTATAAACATATTGCTTATGGTTTGCTAGTCCTCTAGGTGAATTTGATATAGTACTCAGTCTCTATGCTCTCCTCTTTAATACCATCTTATTCATAGTATCCGTGATACACAGGGTCCAGTTATGTGTTCCTGAAAACGAAGTAGGCTTCAGGTTTTAGGAATGCAGACAGTGGGATGAAATTTCAATTCAGCTTGTAAAGCCAATGAAAATCTCTTGGAGTCTGATGAGATTTCCTGTTGTATCGCTTGCTAGAAATCTGCAGACTCACTTTTTTGTGTTTGACTTGGACACTTAGGTATTTCAAGTAATTTGTTTTCTAATTCCTTGCATGCCATTCCACAGGTATTGCCGGTCAGGTGTCCATCGATGCTAATGGAGACCGCTACGGGGATTTCTCAGTGATTGGCATGACGGACCTGGAAACAGGTACACAAGAGGTAAGATAAAATACGTGCTCTCTGGAAGCTTGGACCTGGCTGTGCTCCTCTCTCCACATGTCTGCACAACCACTAACTATTTGAGGATTGACCAAGAAATGTTAGAAAATACGCTAATGCACTTAAGGGGCCACAAAGCTTTCTTTTAAAGTGTATGTAAACCCTAACCATAAACTTTGCTCCCATTTTGAAAGTGTTTTGTTATATTTGTTCAATAAGTGCAAACCATATCTGTAGGTTTTGCAAAAATTGTGTGGTCTGATAATTTCCTGTGTTTTTCTGCCTGTGCACAAGGAGGGGTTATGGAAATGAGGTGTGGGGAAGTGATGAGGAGGGGTAATCTATCAGAAATGAAGTAGGCAGGGCTGACACCACATGCCTAGGAAATCAGGATTGTGTTGTCAAAGGGAAACATAGAAGAATGCTTATGTTTTTTGCACATCAACAGTTATTTTTGTGTACTTGCAGCATGTTTAAAGGGATACAACTTGGGAAAATGTACATGTATTCCAGAGATGTACTGTTTTTTTTTTTTTTTTTTTTTTCACTTTCACATATTTAAGAGCTTTTTCTGCTTTCAACATTTGCCTCTTCTTAAACAACCAACATGCAACTAACCATTGACTTGCTCTAAATCCGTGGGGTCCAACCTTTTGACTTTCCTGGGCCACATTGGAAGAAGAGGAATTGCCATGGACCACACATAACATACACTAACAATCAGCATAGCTGATGAGCAGAAAAAGTCAGGCAGATCTCAATTTAACCATCACTAATATAGATAATGTTAAAACATAGTTCTTTTGTAATATTTGTTATTATAAAGTAAAAGAGGGCAATATAAAACGAATGTATCAATAGCTGGTTGGATGGATGGAGTAGCAATTCTCACTGAATTCCAAAGATGCTCATCAGATATTTGGTTATAATTTTGCCCTTCGTGTGCTTCATCCTTAAAAATATTTGCAAACAAATATAGGTGCTGCCAAAAACTAATGACATGAATATAAAAAACATGGGATGTAAAACGAGCGCTGGGTTTTAAGCTGCTAGCATCAAGATAAAACCTCCTACCCTCTAAAAATCTGATATAAAAGATGCAGCACTAAAATAATCAAAGTGAAATATGTGCAAGCGCCAGCAGGCGTAGAGGTGAAAGTAAAGTGAATCGTTCAAATATGACGTATAAATGGTGAAAGCAGTATTCAATACAAATATAGTCATGTGACTTTGGTGGTGAATATGAAGTCCAATGAGGCAATAATCCGTTTCCGTGAATTCCGTGATTTGAGTGATTGGGAAAATGGTAATGTGAATGCACTAACCAGAAGCGCAATCTTTATGCGCATTTGTGTAAAAGGTATATCCCGTCATAGTCATCTGGATGAGGATAGGACCAAGGCAATCATCTGGCACACGTCAGCATACAAGTTGATTAATGGACCTTACGCACATTCTCCAGGGACATCTCCTCATATGCACGTGATGGATGGATAGGGACCCAGAAAGTGTTTGTTGATATCCACCTTAAATGGCAATAGCTGCATGAATTGTCCTTGCACCATTAAAACTCATGCTAAGTTTGGCTTCTTCAAAAGGTTCTCGTCAATGGGCACTTCATGCAAATGTCAGGAAAATCTTCTCTACCTCTTCCACAGAGAACTTTCCAGATGCAGCTTGTGAATGGCTGGCCAGTACTCGGATTCCGCACTGATCACAGGCTGGTCATCTTTGTAAAGTCCCCCCGTGCTGTGTGGAGTTGTTCTAATGACAAGAATATGGTTTGATTGTGAAGAATGGGAAATGCTTCTTTGGGAAGATAAAACTTATAAAATTCCAGTAGAGTGACACTGTAAAATGTTTCTTCAGCTGCTTGTGTTCGCTAAGTTTAAATGCATTTTTACAAATAATGAAAAAAAAAATTTTTAAGTAGGTTTACGTTTTTTTTGTTGGGCTGCATGCATAGCCATCCTGGGCTGCATGCAGCCCATGGGCCACAGGTTGGATTACCCTGCTTTACAGAATATTTATCTGACTGAAGTAGGTGGCCTCACAGATGCCTAAGAAGGCTATCTGACTATGCAGAAACATATCTCACCCAGAATCTCAGATAAACAAATTTTTGTTTTTTGGCATCTGAGTCAATCATCAAGTGAGAAATTCCCCATACCCCAAAGTGACAGATATTTCATGCTGTACACAGAGGCTGTCTGAAGTAGTTTAGGAACAAAAGGAAGGTAAGTATATGCTGCTGTTGAGGCTGCCATTAACCTCCCTTTTGGTCAACAGCAGTTTTAGACCAGATAGAAAACAGCGTTAGTGAATTATAATCACTTGCAGAATTCTGCGACTGAGCGACGATTCTGCTACTAAGCTCAGTGATGTGCGAACTTGGTGCTCTATTGACTGTGATACGGATCAGGCAGCGCCCCCAAGATTCCCATTTACTGGAGCATCTGGTATGAAAGTAGACGTTGAACACGACAACCCCTTGGCATTCTTACAATTATTTCTGACCAATGAGGTTATTGAAAATATAGGTATTGAGACAAACCAGTACTAAGAGCAACAATTGACTACTCTGCATCTGAAGTTTTCAAGAAGCAGAAAGTGGGAACCAGTGACTAAAGATGACATTTGGACATTTCTGGGCCTAATAATACTTCAGGGAGTGGTGGGGAAACCCCTGTAGAAGTGGTATTGGACAACTAATAAATGACTTGCCACTCCATTATTTGGCACGGTCATGTTAGAGTACAGATTTTCCCTGATCATGATATTTTTACACTTCGAAAACAATGAAAAATTGATGAAACTAAAGAAAATTTGGGAAGTATCTCAAATGATTCTAAAGAATTTCCAACGGAGCTATGTGCCAGAAAGAGATATCAGCATAGATGAAAGTCTAATGGCCAGCTGGGTGCAATACATTGCATCAAAGAGAGCACAATTTGGTGTAAAATCCTACATGCTATGCGAATCGTCAACTGGCTACATTTGGAATTCAGTCATATACACTGGAAAAGAAACAAAATTCAATCTAAAATACAGCAACTATGGAATGGCAACATCTTCCGTTCTTTCAATCATTGAGCCATTGTTAAATCAGGGCTATTGCATAACAACCAACAACTTTTATACGTCTCCTGAACTTTATGAGTTTCTTCTGCAAAACAAAACAGATGCCAATGGAACTGTTAGGGCTATGACATTCTACCGAGCAATGAGGAAACAGCAAAAGAAGTACTGCAAGAAGATCTTCAGGCATCTTCTTGAGCAATGCTTGTGGAATCCCTACATTCTGCTTAAAAAAAAGAGTGAGAAACCTGTGATTCATTCTGACTTAATTTGGAAAATTGCCGAATGTATCTTTGTGAACCACCAAACACCATCAATGGCTGTGAATAGAGGTCATCATGCTGTTGGTGTTGTCAACCCGGAACGCCTGACTGGTTGTCACTTCATGGACTACATCCCACCAACCGAGAAAAAGTCAGCACCTGCAAGGATGTGCGTGGTTTGTTGCTCAAAGCGAGGTGACAGTGGAAAGAAAATCAGAAAGGAAACCAGGTTCCATTGTCCTGATTGTGACGTCAGACTTTGTGCAGTCCCATGTTTTCATACCCGGGATGTTTACTAAACCAATATGCAGTGTCTAGTAATAGTGCACCCTTGTTTGGACAAATTTCAGTGTTTTTGTTTGATTACATTATTTAATTAAATTTAATATTATTATATTATTATTTTTTATAATTTATTATTATTTATTATATTAGAATTTATGATTTCGTGTTTCAAACTTTATCATGCCCAGGATGTATACTGGTCTCTTGTTTGGGCAGATTTAAGTGAGTTATTCTTAAGAATTACAGGCCTACAATATAAAACAACAAATTTCCATGCAAAACAATGTACCGCTTTGAAATTCAAAAATACTGACATAATCAGACCGTCAGGGAGGTTAAACTCAACCATTGCTCTGCAAAGGCAAAGCACAGTTCATTTTAGGGTGATTATTTTGTAATTGAGTATGTTTTAGTGTATTTTTTAAGTGTGAGTGCTAAGGCTTGTTTTACTTTAGCTTCATTTTCATTCATTCGAGAAAAAAAAATCCATCCCGCTCTTTCAAATTTTCAAGTCACTATGGTCGAAAATGGGCATCAATTTCACTCCACTAGTGATTAGAAAATCAAATGAACGTTCTAAAAACAAAAATTTTAATTTGAAAATCTACTAGTGTATACCCAGTTTAAGCTTTGTCTATTCTAAAAAGAAGAGACTTTTTCCAACAAAGCATTAAAGAGTAGCCTGGTAAACTGGTGAAACCCACCTAGTGGATGGAAATAGTAAAAATAAAATATAACATTAACCTCCTTAGCAGTAATCCCGAGTGTAGCTCGGGGTAAAATTTCTATACCAAAAGCGGTAACCCTGAGCTACACTCGGGCTTACCATGTGGCGCTGCTCTTGGGGTCCCTGCAGCACTTACCTTGTCCTTCGCTCCCGCGATGTGTCCCCTGCAGCGTCCCCGGCCATCTCCTCCGGCCGATGCCAGCATCCGGCTTCTGTGTTCCGGTCCCTGTGACGTCGGGACGGGCGGGACCGGCGGGAAATTTGAATTTTTTAAAAAATGTCACATTTTTGCTGTCATTGCTATTTCAATGCATTTCACATACATTTTGTCCCTACTGCTTTGTCCTGTACCCTGCCTGTATTTTGAATGTTCTTTCTGCCTGGAAACTTAGAAAAGTCCATGGCGTCCAAAAAAGGTCCCTTTACATCAAAAGCGGTTTTAGAACAGCTAGAGAACAGCGATAGTAAATCAGAACCACTTGCAGAATTGAGTGATAATGATTCGTGGGGAAATTCGTCATCAGACACTGAAAACGATTTTGCGACTTTGCTCAGTGATGTGCGAATTTGCCTCTGTAATTCAAATTTCAGTGTTTTTGGTTTGATTATATTATTGAATTAAATTTATTATTATTATATTATTATTT